GAAGCGTTTTGATAACTTTTAATCACCACGTCGTGTAGTTTGTGCTGGCCAAATTTCAGGTGTCTACGACTTACCCCGTAGAGGAGGTAAATTTTGAAAATCGGCCATAAATGACCGATTTTCATTGGCGAGCCGCTATTTTTTTCAAAATGGCCGACTTCCTGTTGAGTTTCGGGTATGTGTTCTTGAGGCTTTTTTGTGCGTCTCAAGTTGTTACATGTGTGTACCGACTTTCGTGGCTCTACGTGAAAGTGTGTTCGGGGGCCCATTTTCTGTAATTTTGTAGGGGGCGCTGTTGAGCCATGTTGCTATTGAGGTGAGTATTTCCCCCTAATTATAAAATTTTTCGCCGGGTCTGATGTGTGTGGCGAGTTTGGTGAGTGTGTGAGTACGTTGTGTACCTCAAAAACGTGTTTCATTTTGACGAATAATAATAAACCCTAGCAATTCCAATAGGGTCTTCGCACCCTTTGGTGCTCGGACCCTAATAAAACCTCACAGGTTTGGACTATTTTAATATCTATTTTTGCGCATAATTTCAAAAGAGGCAGACCAATAAAGAGACATAAGACATGATCATCTGAGTGCATATTTGAACGTTGCTAGTGCTGGAACAGAAGCTTGCATACAAATTGATCTCAAGTTTCCACCGTTTTGCTATCCACTGACCAAACTCAACCAAAATATTTCCTAACGAGGCTTTTTAGATCGCTGGGAGTTCAAACCAGTCTCTCTGTGGCTGAGTTGCATTGTGCACTCTCTGCCATTGTTGTTGTTTCAGCTTGACTTACATTTTATTGCCAATCCATGAAACTGGAGCACCTCATGTGAAAACTCACGAGTCAACCAGCCGTGGTAGCTGTACTGCTCTTTATCACAACAATTGATTTTCAGAAATCAGTGTCTGTTTTTTTTTGTTTTTAAATTTGATTCATAATTCAATTTAGATTATCTCTTGGCAGCCCTTCAAGAATGCCAGCATAGACTGACAGTAGAGACGTCTCTGCTCAGTCAGTGGTCAGTCGATGTGAGGCGGAGGGAGGTAGGAGCAGAAATACACTCACTGTCTGCAGAAAACATTCCAGGGGGAAGTTTAGAAAGTATTGCCGGCTCTTTCTCTTTAAAAGAATGATGAAAAGTTAATTACTTTAATGGGTGAAGCACTGACGATGCAGAATGTGGTGTCTCAGAGCCAGAGGTTTGAGTAAATGGATGTAATGCTCAGTGCCTCTGCTCAATTCCCACTGTACTTGACCTGCTGCCAATCTTTATTATAATTGGTCTATAGTGTTCT